GGGGCGGGGGCGCTGGCGTGCACGCACTCCCAGGGGCCCGGCAGCCTAGCGGCGGATCCACCGGCGTCGGCGTCTATCGCCATGCCACGCCACTTACCTCCGACTCGTCCCGGCCCCGGACGGCACGAGGCCCGCGATGTAGCCCATGTGCGCGCGCAGGGCCGACGTGATTCCTGTGATGGAGCCCGTCGAGTTGCCCCGGTTGTCCAGGCCCTGTGGAGAAGAAAGGGATCTGGTGAGCAAGTCTCTACGAAACACGTCATGTTGGTTTGAGGGTTGTGGGGTGGGGTGGGGTTGGGTTGGAGCTCGAGCCTGCCCTGCCCTGCACAGGTAAGGACACACAGAGCCACCGACATGCCAGGGATACCGCCCCAAGTGGGACGAGGGGCCCGGCGGCGGCCCTCCGGCAGGTCTCCTGGAAACCCCAAAGGACACCCTCCCCTCACCCTCCTCCCGCCTCATCCCCTAGTGCTCTAGCTCTAGCTCTACTCTGCGGTTTCCTTCCAGCTATTTGTCGCGATTCGTCGTGAGAGAAAAGGAAAGGTGTCGGAGCCGGCGCCTGGCGAGGCGGAGGGGGTGGAACAGACGCAAAGGCGTGAGGCGCGAAGAGGTAAGGGGTGACAAATCCCCCGCGCCACCCGGCCCGGGCCGGGGTGCAGGGGCGGTGAATCATCATCCCTGTCAGCCGCGCCGCTCGCTCGTCAGGAGGCCGTCGATCACCTCGAGGGCCGGCTCCTCCTCTTACTCACCGTGTGCCTGGCGCTGAACAGGTTGAGGAACCTGCCCAGCATGCCCTGCTTGCCCGAGGCCGGGGTGCCCGTGCCGGCGAACGTCTCCCGGCGCATGTAGTGGTGGTCCGGCCGGTCCGACGCCACCCCCGGCTCCAGCTGCGGCTCGCTCTGGAACGCCTGCTGCGGCACGAGAGGACATCGGATATCGACATATCGACACATCGAATGAACATATCAAATTAATCCGCACATCGAATCGAAGTATCCAGATATTGCATCTACATGTCGAGATGCTGCATCAACATATCGAGATATTGCACCGACACACGACACATCGAGGTATCGCTTCGACCTATCTAAGTCTGTATCGTATCGATGGCCTGACCTGCTGCGTGGAGGCGGCGCGCGGCCGCTCGGGGGCGGCGGACGGCCAGGAGGCGCGGGGCGTGACGGGCGGCAGCACGGCCAGCAGCAGCAGCGGCGCGAGCGGGTGCGCCGCGTGCATGCGCGCCGCGTACAGCTCGTCGCGCATCGACAGCGCGCTCAGCGCCTCGCTGTCCTCCATGGACATGGACACGGACGCGGACGACACGGCCACCGACGGGCTCTCCAGCTGCAGCTCCAGGCGCGCCGTCTCGGCCTGCAGCGCGGCCAGCTCGCGCCGGTACACCTTGTTCTGGACCTGGACGCGGTACCGCTGCTCCTGCCCCTCATCCACCACGAACCTGGGCGAAGGGAAACACAACATTTTACATTAACCCGAAAGTCATTTTAAGCTATTGCTTTCCGAAATAGGACTAGTCCGTAAATTAACATAACATATATATTATTCCAAGAGAATAACGAATGAGAAATAATGTTAATTTTTGATTTTTTTCAATCGATATGGTAGATCTATATTTATGAAACTAAATCATTGAGTCATCGATGGCCGGTTGACCCCTAGAAAATTACGGAATTTTCACCTGTGAAATATTTTATCGACCCCGGGGACTTGTTGACTCACCTGCGCGTATTGTACTGTAGCCGCAGCCCCATGGACTGGCCGACGGGGTCCGCGGTGCCCGTCTGCAGCGCGTGCAGCTTGGGCAGGAAGAGCAGGCAGAGCGTGGCCGTCGTGGAGGCCCAGACGAGCGCCGTGCTGCACACGTAAGCGAGCGTGACGCGCTGCCACAGCAGCGACGCCAGGACGACGGACAGCCCAGAGCACACGACCACGAAGTACACCGACAGCCCGATGTAGTGTGAGTCGTTGAGCGCGGGGATCTTGACGCGTCGCGTCTCCCAGGCCATGTACAGGCCCACGACGAGCAGCAGGCCCTTGTACACGTACAGCGCCCCCAGCCAGCTCTCCGTGTACTGCGACTTGCAGATCTCCACCTGCGTCTGGTACACCACGCCCCGGTCCGACGGCGAGATCTCCAGCGTCAGGTTGTGCAGGTGACGGCCCATGGGGTCCACGATGGCCCACAGCGTGACGACCATCACGTCCAGCAGCAGCAGCGCGCCCACCAGCGACATCAGCTGCGTGTCCTGCAGCAGCTGAAACAGATGAATAAGGTCATAAGAGTGAGAACGCCTGATTTTTTCTCAAATGGGCGGTCAGCACTTCACGGGGCTTGGTGTAACCTCCAACAACTCGCAGGCGCCCTCCACGAGGCTCTCTATCAACCTCCACAGGCAGAGCGCCTGCCGGGTAGGCAACCGTGCGCTCAGCGCGCGTCTGTGTAAAGCGGGCTGGCCTAGCCTACAGCTCGCAGGCGCCCTCCACGAGGCTCTCTATCAACCTCAAGAGGCAGAGCGCCTGCCGGGTAGGCAACCGTGCGCTCAGCGCGCG